CAATTGTAACAATGTCGTCATTCAGCTGAAAAAGGTTTAAGCTAACCAAAATTTTTAAACATGCAGGCTTATTCGAAGTCCTGCGTTTAATTGTCGAGTTTATGAGCTTCGGTTCTTACTTGGAACTGGGACTATTATACTAACTATACTGTCAATATATTATGTCCCAGCTTAGAGTTGTCATTTGAACTGCAAACAATTTGATGGCGGATAAGGTCAAGACATTGGTCACATGACAAAAGGTCAGATGTTACCATTATTTTTAAGGGAACCGGTATACCTCGGGGTTTTTTTTACCTCGTATCGTCTTATTTGAACTCGTACATAAATAAAACTTGAACAATCCTAATACAACAATTTTAATCATTATACTTCACGTTGAAATTACAGATTTGGATTGGTTAATACGAGGAAGACAATTTACTCTATCCCATGGCTCAGCGGGAGACAATTTTTTTGAATGTCAGACTCTCGTGCCGACCAATAAAAAATCGACAATTTAAAGGACAATGAATTGAATTATATCAATAATCAGACAATGCTCAAGTTCTACGTTTCGGCCCCAGATCCTTTTCATATATAGACTGTCAACATAAAAAAAAATCTTGCTTCACTTTTGTTGTTTTTCTAATAACTGTAATGTTGTTTAGCACATGACGTCATAGTCATGCAATTACTTTAAATTTACAATTTTTTAAAAGAAAATAATGACAGAACATTCAGTATAATAAATCAAATAACACATAGTTGAGAGGGTGATCGAGGATCTGGTTAGCCCTCAAAAAAGCTTCGCCTCGGTTGATAATGTGTTCCCGGAGTAACATTCTGCTTTATCACCCACTCAGCTATGTTTTATTTATATATTGTTATATAATTTAATTTTGGATGTAACGCGTCTTCTGATTGACTGACGTTGTTTTGTTTATCAGCTCATAGACATAATTTAGTCATGTGACCGTGACGTCATCAACGGTTTTTCATGGTTTACTACGGTTTAAAATGGAATTTAGAATTAAATTATAAGAAATGACTGTAATATTTTTTCTGTCTATTCGAAATAACATAAAAAATGTGGTGCACACATTAAAATAACCCGCTACGCGGGTTATTCAGTGTGCACCACATTTTTGATGTTATTTCTTCATAGACAGAAAAAGTATTACAGTCATTCCTTAAATAAACACCAAGCCAATCTATTTTTTGACACTTGTTGGATCGGTGCGTTACAATTGCGCGCCTTACCATTACATTTGCGTGCAAAATTCATTACGTTAGCGCGAAGCTTTTGATTACATTTGTGCGTATTTTAAAGGTAAGCTCAGGTAAATACAGGTAAATGTAGGTAGATAAACTAATTTCATAGTTCTAACAGTTATGTCGGCTGTCTTTTTTTTCTTACAACCGCACGGATAATCTGCCTCTCAAGATTTCTAGAATCGGACTCATGTGTATGTTCACACTTACCATTTAGAATGGCTGTTGAATGTTCATCAGTTTTTATCCTGCATTTGCAATTCTTTACAGTGCATCGCCATGAAATATTCCCCTGACATCAGTGTTCTGTCGATATGTAAAGTAAATCCATCGTACACTAATTATTTTCCCCCAATTTGTTTGTCTTGATGCAAATTTCAGACTGACTTAAATTATTTACTTATTTACACGCGATCCCACTCGGTAAAATTAGGAAACAAAATACTATTCACTCTGAAATATTCGGAATTCAGTTACATGTATGCCTTAAGGGAGTTACCGTTTGATTTTTAGGGGGGTGGGGCTAGGATGAAATTTGAAAAAAGGCAGGACAGGAGTTTTAAGTAAAAACAAAAGGCAGGATGACAATTTATGTAAAAAAAGTCAGGATAAACTAATAAAAAAAGGCAGGACCGAATAGAGTTAAAAATAAAAAGGCAGGACAGAGATTACAACTAAAAAAAATGCAGGACAAAATTTTTCATCCTAGACCCCCCACCCCAATAAAAATCAAATGGTAGCTCCCTAAGCTATTACGGGATTTCTCATGATCACTATGTTTTTTGTTAAGAATCCAATACGAAAAATATAAAATTAAATTAACAAATATGTTCAAAATTAGTAATTTATGATCATATTCTTTTTGACAATTAATAACTTATAGTCATATTTATCATGCATTTCCTTTATTTTTACCTGTGTTAACAGTAGAATAAAAGCGCGCAAATGTAATCAAAAGCTGCACTCAAACGTAAAAAAAATAATCCCTAAATACGCGCAAAAGTAAAGCGACGTGTTGGATAAATGTGAGTTGGATTTTTCAAATGTTGGAGAACCGTGAATAAACCACATGGATACCGACATTGATACTTACACTGACTAAAAAGTAGAGGGAACGTACCAATATGTCAAAATATACGGAATGAATAACCTCGTAAAACTTGGTTGGACACAGCAGAGGTAAAAAATAATATAACTACATTATTCTGTAATTGGTTTTATATAATTTCTAATTCAGAATCTGAGCTAGAAACACCAAGTGCTTTTGTTAGTTTTGAAATTCTTTTAGTGATGAATTTGAGATATTCCAACTGTTTTCTTCTCATTGTTGAATCATACTGAATGATCTTTTAATAGCAGTAATTTGCATTTTATGTAAAAAAAAATTAACAAAAATGGGCAATAACCTTATCAAAAGAGAAAATCGGGTACACCTTTTTACGTTCAAGCGTGTTTGAGTTGACTGTTTTGTCCTGAAAACGTTTAAAGTAAAAATTCTTGATACATCATCTCGCTTCAGGTCCATTCTTTTTATATATATTTAGGCTATATTTTATATAATAACATTACAAATTCACATTACGGAAACAAGAATGGTCAAGCGAAGTACCTATTTAATGTGTCATAACAATAGAGTAGGTGTTTCTGAATAACAAAAACAAAAGCGTCGTGCTACTTCAAATGTTTAAACTGGATGTGTATTTCTTATTTTAATTTTTTTTTCACTTTCGTTCACTCATTTTTCAGAGAAAAAAAATAGGCTAATTATTTGTTTATTCATGAAATGTATAAAACAAAAGTCGGACATATCGTTCACTAACACCCCTTGAATTTTACTAAAAACCCTGGACTATAAAAGTGGATCTTAAAAATGCATAACTGAAAAAAAAATCATTTCTGAGCGTGTTATCTAGGGTAATTAAGTCTTCAACCTCTGCAAATATTTAGTCTGCCTTTCAACAAAATACTTCAATAGATTTTTTTAGTGTTTTTTTAACTTTCGATAATTCCTCCTGACAAACAATCAGACAATAGTAGTTAGTTGACAAAAGGCTTTAAAGTACATAAAATGATGCTTCATAGCTAGTAGATACATTTGTCTTTTAAAATACAGCTGTCATGTAAGGATCGTATTTAGGCAATGCGGATAGATTTATCGGTTTTCAAGAGCTAAATTGACAGAGCGTCTCTTTTTTACAAAGTATAATATGAAGATCGGTCAATTCTCAGCTTCTAAATTGAGCCGATAAATTAACAAATCATTGAAAATATTTTTTTATATATTTAAAATGTAAATTAGATAAATCATTGTACACCTTGAGGTGACCCCTTCTCAAAAAGGTTACCTGTCGTCCTAGGCATAGGAGTAAACGTCAGTATCAAAAGTTTTCGAAAGGTCTAATATTGAGGATCTCTTCCTATGTACGGCACAGAATGGTCTAATCAAATATGCTTCGTAACGAAATGAACGTCCATTACCCTTTTCAATTTACCTTGGAGTTCTATATTTTTGTTATACTAATTTCTTTGCACAGTTTTCTTTGATTTCCACGTTTTCACTAAATTTTTGTTTAAAATTGAAAAGGTTCAAGTTAATATCGGAAATATAAATTTAAAGATTATTGAATTTTTTTATAACGATATTCGAGTTTTCTGTCAGAAAGTCGAAAATAGAATGCCAAAGATTAAATATTACTCGCAACTTGTTTGGTCATAAAATGCGGCTAGATAAAAAAAAAAAACCTATGGTCGTTCCATCGTGTTTTTAAGTTTCAAATGTTCTTAACTTATTTAATATTTGTCTAAAACTTATTTTGAAAAAGGGAAAATAGATTTCCATGTTTATTTCAAAATTACAGATTAAAATAAATGTCGACCTTTCTGGCAAATTTAGTTATTGTATATACAATGAAATTTACGGTGCATTGTTTTGTTTTTGTTTTTCGATACCTTTGATAATGTGTCCTAAATTGTATTAACAGTAGTGTAGTCATCTTAGTTTTCGACTATGAATCAAGATGTCCTGGGAAAATATTTTTTAAGAAAACATTCCATAATTATGCTTTGTTACTTCAAACAAACACATATAATACAATATTGTATCATATACCTCTGCTTCAAATATAGAAAAAAAATACTTCAATGATGGTTTTTAATTGTTGTATCTAAGGTAGTGGTCATGGCTGAAAGTCGGTTTTGTCAGGCATTAATATGACTTTGGTCTAAAGTATCCATGTTTTTTTTATAGTTGGTGACCTTGTTCGACTCAATTTCGTAAAGTGGCTTCATAGGAATGTTTAAAAATCCAAAAATATATTTACGACTAATGACAATGGAAACAATGTAGTTCTAATTTTCTATTGCTTATAATTTTATTTTATTTTTATTGATTATAATTTTATTTTTCTATTGCTTACAATTTTAATTTTCTATTGCTTATAATTTTAATTCTTTATTGCTTATAATTTATATTCACTTTGATCAAATGAGATAATATTATCCTCTCTCGTCCAAATGATTTCATTGTAAAGGTGATGATCAACACTAGTTTAGTGTAAAGTTGATAATCCCTATTTTTCGACAGAAACAAGACAAGAGGACAATACGATTAAGGTTTTATAATGGTAATAAACAAATTAACCTGTTGTAGAATAAACATAACCTTGCAGGATAAATTAAAGGTTTAAACCGTAAACATCAGAATTCAGTGATTCATCACCTACCGGTTGTTTGAACATGTTTTAAAATCGATCATAAAATTATTTCATTAAAAGAAACATGACAACAATGATACATAAAAATACATATATAACGTGATTTATGTGAACAGGAAAAAAAACAATTTTTCTTCTGAACTTTATTTCTATTAAATATTCAATATTAAAGCTTTAAAAGGTTTCTTGAATATTCAAAAATATCATTTCAGTATAAAAATGTTACTTTCAAATATCCACAAATAATTAACAAATTATAACATTTCCAATTAAGATAACCAAACAAGAATTTCTTAAGATTTTTTTTCACTGATCAATTAGTTTTACAAAATAGAAAAGCTGACCGGGTTAACTTACACTTTGCGTCCGTTCCATGTAAAAAATTAATATATTGCTATCGTACTTATGTTTTGGACAAAATATGACACATTGTTCAAAAATATGTTTTCTGTAAGATACCAATGAACTTTCACAGCAAACTAAAAAAATCCGATTTGTAAAGCAAATTCATCTTATTACTACTTTCTTTGTTGTTTTAAACAATTAGATGACATAAAAACCCATAAACATGTTAGAGTCAATGATACATTAGGCCACCCATAAAGATTTCTTTGTTTGATGTTACCTACGCATGCCTTGTAGGGTTAGGAAAGTACGTAGGGATTTTTTTTCTTTGGCCAACAACTTAAGTTACATGTTTTGGACTAGAAAACGAGGTTAGAGCAGAACAAATCTTTAAACAAAAAATTGAAACAATTTGTGTCATAAAACTTTTCGGGTATGCAGCTTTGTTTGGTGGGTAGGTAGGCAACATCAAACAATTTAAATTTTATTTTTGGCCTGACATAAATGCTATTTGTATTGCAAGGAATGATTGTTGTTACTGCGTCATTAAAACATGTCTGCAAGTCTTGCAAGAATGTCCAGAATGGTTTCATCAATATCTATTGGTGGTGCATCTCTAGTCAGACCTCCTTCACTCATTAGCTGCCTTGTTGCTCTCTCCAAACTGATTGCTGATTCTACTAGAACTATCACATTTGTATGATTTACACCGGATATTCCAAATTTCAAAAATATCTGTTCTGCAAGTTTTCTCCGATAGAAGTCACCTCTGTCGCCTGACATACCAACATCTTCGTGCATGCCGTTGAGGTATTTAAGTACTTGGCTCATATTAGACAAGCGATGTTCTTTGATGAGGAGTGTTTCGTTCATTAGCACAAGAAACCTTTCACAAGCTAACTGTAAAAACAATATATTTATATATGCAACTAAGAATGTAAAATAGATAATGTGTGTGTGCCATGACCAAAGAAATGATTTCGAAAGTTTTCTGATATTAAAAAAAAAAAGAAACGCATGAAAGATATGGGCAATGATTTGAAGAGAGTATTACGATCATTCTGTAGATATGTGTTTATGTATAGCATTGACCGAAACTGTTAAAAACAACATTAACAAGATTTGAATTTACATGGACAGAAGATTTGATAAGCAACTCTGGTTATTTACTAACTTAGTTAAAAAAGTACATTTGCAGGGAACTTTATTTGTATTAGTTTATTCGATACTTTTTCAAATGCTTCAAACCAAAGAACTGACAGAGATATGGAAATATGGCCACCTGCATTTCTCCCGTTAAGCAGTTGGACCTATGCTTGGGATAATGGTGTCCTTTAACCTGTGTGGGATGTAAACATATCCAGGCACATCATATCGGAATGTTGACATTAAATGCGATGACCCATGTCGGAAGAACGACAAGCTCTCTATGAGTTAATGATTGCAATAGTTCTTTAAAGGGGTCCGTGGGTGGTATATTGCAATGCACAATTCTTGCCCTACCAAAAATTCCGTCTTTTTTCGAGGAAAAGTTTGCATGTCTTCCTAATTTATTTATTGCTTAATTTGTTTTTGTACTGAATATTCATTAAGTATCTGCCACTGGACAATTTACTATCGCCTTTCGATGAGACTGTAACCGAGAAACCAGAATCGTGGCATAGATAATCTATAATTATTGTCGTGGTTTTTTGACTACTTTTTCAAAATAATGTTGATTTCGACAAAAGCTTTGTTACACGGAGAAAAAAATCCAGTATATTTCGCCTTTAAAGAAGAAGTATTCAGTAAATTCAGGGACAGTGCTTAACTATTCACTATTTGGATAATTGTGACCAAAATGTTTTTACGCATAAGAGAGCTGTAGTGGTAATCTTTATGGGTAAATTACCGAAAAGGTTTTATAAGATAAATATCGTGTGCTCCGGAAGGGTAGGTATTTCCTGGTTCGTTTACTTGATGCTACATGAAACACCTTTTGTATTGACCAGTGGTCTAGGCAAGTTTTTACAGCTTGAATAAAATTTTATTGAACCAAGTTCAAGTTCTGACCTGTGCAATTCTATTCATTGACATAATCGGTGCAACTCGATCACGCTGGAATGACGTCCTCATCGTCTGTGTAGATGGCGTGCTAGAAAGTGTATATCCTACTCTGTAAGACATTGTTTATCTACAAAATAAAATGCAGATGTGTGCCATTACATAGTGACAAGAAGATATTTCCATCACAAAACCAAACAAAGAACTTTGCTTTTACTTAATCTGCTTAAATGGGATTGCGTTTGAGATTTTTATGTATTCTTGCACTTAGCCATGCAATCTTACAATAACTCTTGAACTAGCAGTGAGGAGCAGCACTTATAAGCAAGTTATTGTAAGATTGCATTGATAAGAACAAGAACGCATGAATTGCGGTGAAATATTGAAGAACAACAAACAAAAAACACCAAAAAAGGAAAGGGGGAATCTCACAAGCGCCTACGAACAGTCTACGAAAATCGTATCACATGTCAACTAATATAAACTGTTAACACAGAGATATGTCTCGCCTATTTGTTATTTTGATAATGCAAATATTGAAATTAAAATAGCAATACTTTAACATGTAAGTTATGCAAATATTCAAAGTCAATGAACCATGACTGAATGGACAGGGCTAAACAATCTCCATGAAAATGAGATGTACCAATGCTATTACAACTGCATACCAAATACCATTGACTTTTCATAAGTCGTTCCCTTTAAACAAACCTAAACACAAACATTAACTTGTAAACTATGTAAAAGCTTCAGAGTCAATGAACCAAAATAAGGGCGTGGGGTTATATAATCTCCATGGAAATGAAACTTGCAAATGCCAATACATTTGTATACAAAATATCATTGACTTAACATTAGTGGTTCATCTTAAACGGACCTAATCACAAACTAATACATATGTAAACTAAGCAAAAGTTTCAAAGTCAATAGATCATGACTGAGGGGGCGGGGCCAAATATTCTCCATGGAAATGAGATGTGCAAATGCTTATACAACTGCATTCCAATTAACATTGGCCTACCACTAACGGTCCCCTTTAAACTGACCTAATCACAAATTAATACATGAAAACTAAGCAAAAGTTTCAAAGTCAATAGACCATAACTGAGGGGTCGGAGCCAAATAATCTCCATGGAAATGAGATATGTCAATGCTTATACAACTGCATACCAAATATCATTGACCTACCATTAGTGGTTCTCCCTAAACTAGACCTAATCACAAACTAATACATTGTTGACGCCGCCTCCGACGCCGGAAACAGCATACCTATGTCTCGCTTTTTGACTCCGTCAAGGCAAAAAACCGCCAATCGTAATACAACATATAATCATCACAACAATAATAAAATGTTTTATAACGTTAATTCTTCTAAAATTAAAATAATGCTCTAAATGAAGTCCTTTTAATCGGATGTTTTTTTTTATGGCAAACGCATGAAAATACATGTTATCAGATCCTTGAGTTCATTCATTACGAAGTTATTCAATATCTGTGATATTGTGACGTGTTTGATAAGTGTCGTGTCAATGCTTTGGTGCTTTAATTCTCTCATTAAAAAAAATGTCCAAGCCAGATCAACTTCATATAAATATAAAGAATATTGTACATCTTTATAATCAATTTTTACTCATTTCCTTTCCAATTCCAATTCTCATTATTTTCCCACTTTTCTATAGATAAACTTGCTTGTTTTGGAAAAATTACTAAACGATACTGATCATTGCTAAATTTGTATGCTTCACTGATACTGTGAATTTTAAGTTATGAACTGTCTTAATATTTTTGTTTCTCGTGTTCGTGACCCGTGTTGTCTTTGATATAATCTGCGTATAAGAAGGAATAAAGTCAATAATAATAATAATCATATGATCTATTTTTCAAACCCTGATGCGGATGGTTTGGAAGGAGGAACTATTACATGTATAATTGCAATTATCATTATGATTATTTTGCAAAAAATATCCTCTCTTTAACGTAGTTGTAAATAAAGTTCCTAATAATATGTATCGTTTTTCAAGTTGCTGCCAAGTTTTTTTTAATCATATTCAATAATAATATATAACAAAATTAATCAGTTAACAATGCTTTAATTACTGATTTTAATATAAATTATATTTATCGCGACAAATTCAGATAAAAGACATATTGTACACATCTTGAAAAACCGATTGATCTTGTCACTAATTCCGATAAAAATGTCACCAAATGCATCTTAAAATGTTCAAATAATACCCGTGGCTACATATCAGTGTCAATAATTTGATATCAGTCATCAATTGTATGGATCACAGTGTCTCTGTCAAAAAAACAATAGTTTCGCACCTGTAATATCAGCTCTTTTGATCTTACCTTGTAGATGATCAGCAGGTAATTGTTGACACTTAGAGTCGTATTCTGTCATCCATTTGTAAACAAATCATACTAAGGCAGGTAACTCCTGGGATACCTGTGTACCCTGATTTAATTGCAATTAAAATCACCCAGTCACTAAGTTAAAGGTTGTATTTACGGTACAGGTAAAAAGTTTTTACCGCGTATATTTGAATCGAATAATAAATCGTTTCGAAAATTAGTGTGTTATAGCTATAAAATTGCATTCAAGTCTTTATTATCAGATTCTCATCAATTTACTTTTGTTGCACATGATCTCATATGTGTGATTGTTAATGAGCTCATTCAATCGGTTTCATGCTGATAGCAACCTGCAGCTGCAATCGACGAAATTCCCGTTTTCTTTATTCGTATGAAAAATAACGAAAAGTAGGCTTAAAGATCCGTCCATCTTTGCGGCACCAATAGAACTGTGTTTCGTGAATACCAATTTTGTTTAATCTTAACGTTTGCGGATTTCAAACGCATTTGTCAAATCGAACAATGTGCAGGCCTCGCAGCAACGAACATAAGTTTTCAGAGTCAAAACCAGTAAAACATAAAAAGCTTACGTTTGTTTTTATTTGTTTACAAAGTAACTTAATGGTAGAATAAGTTAACAATAAAAGATCATAAAAATATATCGGTCGAAAATTGTGGTCGAACAAGAACAATGATGGGAAAACAAATGGCAGCGCACTTAACATGCTACAATATGTCATCCCCGTCGATATTATGGTTATGGTGTAATCATTGCTCATCATAGGTAGCAATAAATGGCCTGAGGTATACATCCATCAAAGCGTCTACGTCAAAATAGTGATCATCTTCCTCTAAATATTGATAGCTTGTTTCGTTTGTATGTGAATAAGTTAATAGTTTGGAATTCCCCTTTTTGAGATGATTTTTTTATTGTAAAAAGTAAGGATTTAAATAATTGGATTTTATCGCAAGTTTTGAAGGTAAGACATTTCTAGAGAGTGTAAATATTGTATACCGAAATCCGAAAAGTATAGTTTTACATAATACCAAATACACGTACAAGAGTAAACGAGAAAAACTTTCAAACGCCTAGGATCTAAAATGTATAGTAAGAAATCAACATTTAAACGCTCATCATTGAACAGTGTACCCTTCTTAATTCCATTCCTGCTATAAGAACCTGCGACTCTTTTCACAAAAAATCTTACGATAATAATTGATCGTAAGTTATACTGGAATATCTATGACTTACGAGTATTTTTAATATTAAGATTTTTTGTGACTGGAGATTAAGTCAGCGAGTACACCATTACATAAATGCAGGGTCTCTTATAACAGTGTAAGCAAAATGAAGCAGAAAATTGTTTTTTTTTTTTCCTTTTTTGTTTTTTTTAGCTACTAGTGAAAAAGGTTTTGGATGTTGGGTCCCTCATTTCTTTGTTTTTTTAGTTTTCTAGTTTATTTTTCTCTATTTTTTTATTTATTTTGCCCATTTTTCTCTATTCTGTATACTTTAGAACCCCATTATCCTCTATTCTTTATATATTTTATTTTTTGCCGATTTTTCTCTATTTTTTATTATTAATGCCTTTATTCAGCACTATTCGCTCATTGTTCTGTATTCTGTAAACCCCATCCAGACCCTTGTGTATGTCGTGTGCAGTTCCTTCATAAAAGCTTAATTTCAAATTGAACAAAAATTTAAATCTATCATGACTCGTTTACTCGTCAGTGTTCTATTAGCATAGCACGTTACAGATGTAATTGTTATATTATGTTATATATATAGATATATATATTTTGAATTTTCCAATTTACCAAATAGAAAATATAACCTATTTCTTATTTGATTAATAGGCTGAACTGAAATTATATAAGTTGTGGATTTGTTTGTCGTTTTTTTGTCTTCCTCTTAATTATCATTATCACCAGTTTTCGAAAAGGTCTTGTAATGATCTTATTAAGATAGATGTGTTCTTAAACATGTCTAAATGTGAACTTTCTACTGTAATTAAAACATGAGCGTTTAACCAAATACCAAAGTAATTACCAATAGCATGTACATGTATCCATCTTATGCCGTCAACTACAGCCTCCGGTATAAAACATATACATAATATTGTCAGCAGTTGGCATTTATATTGTCCATCTAGCACTGACCATAACAAAAGTCTCACAGATAAGACAACTGTCTGTCTATTACATTTGTTGTAATATTCCCCCGCACAATTTTAGTAGTGATGTGTGTGTGGGGGAGAATGGTAAAAATATATAAGTTCTTTGAAAATATTCATCTCCTATTTTCAATTATTTGCTCAAGTCTGATAATAAAAGAAGGATGATTTTAGTCAATGAGAAAAAAACAGAAATTTTATAGTCGTATAAAAAGTAAATTGATCACAAAAATGAGATATTGACAGTTTTCCGCTGAAGGGTCCATCTAGAATAAAGTTGTATACCTCTAAATTGAAGATGCATTTTTAGCATAAAATTGTCGCTAACGATACCCTTTCAAAAATCCTGTTTCTTACCTAGAGTACTTTATGATTTAATGGTCTTCATGAGACAAAGGCGTCCTTCGTTTTTAAACGATAACACATGCCTATGCAGATATCCCTTTTGTTTCAGATTAAAGATGAGAATCAACTTTGTGCTTCATGTTTACATAACTGGACTAATTCTATTGCTATTCAATATGACAAAGTGCTACCGTACTGGGGCTGGTCCTCAGTCTTGTTCTTCAATGGTCCCGTTCCACAGTAATACTCAGCCACAGCTAGGACCTGTACCATATATAATTACTGTATCTAAGACAACTTACACACCAAGAGAACAGATTGTTGGTAAGTATTACAGAGCTTGTTTTAAATTATAAAACTGAATAACTCGGCCCATTGATGAGAACGACCGGTATTACATGGTTCCATGGCTTAATATTGAGCAAAGGTACAACTAAGTCGACTCGAATGAAAATTTGATTATGAAAATAAGGAGATGTGTAATGGTTGCAATGGAGACAAGTATCCATCAAAAATCAAAGGACGAGGATATAAACAGCTAAAGGGCTCATTATGGCCTTCAACAATGAGCAAAACCCATAGCATATAGCAAATCTATAAAAGGTCTCGGTATGACAAATGTGAAACAATTCAAAAGAGAAATCAACGGTTTCAATTGTGCTCAAAACAAACGAAATAAGGCAGACAGCAAACCAACGACAATGATGAATGCTGTCCGGTCCCTGGATCATCAGGTCGCCTGGTCGTCCGGATGTTAACATTTCGGTTTTCGGTCAAATTTGTTGAGTTATAAACAATAATTTGATCAAACCTATAGTTGCTTACATCCACATCATTTGGACTATGATGAAAGTTGTTTCATTGGCAATCATACCATATCTCATTAATTTAATACTGATATTATAATGCCAACTTCATTGAAGAAGGTCTCTAATAATATTGAGGTCTGTAGGTCAAATGTCAAGGTTAAAGCACTTATCGATAGACTGAAATTTGGGAAAACACCTTTTTTAATTATTCTTTTATTATCATAGAAACTCCTTTATCATACACTTTATGCATACTAATACATACTTACAGAAAGAGATAGAAGCCACAAAGGTAAAGAAATACAACGATAAGATATATATATATATATATACATATTGAACTCATAAAACTCAGCCATAGAAATCATTTCAACAAAGCAGAAAAATAAGATTATTATAGGGCGCAGGCTGCTTTTTATTTGGATAGCTAATATGATAGTTTATACAACATACCCACTGTGCTTATGAAAGTAAAAGAGGCGAAGGGTCTAGCAGTTTACTGAATCTTTTATTTTTATTTGCATTTCTAGAATGTTAACTTTTTCTGAAAGTTTTAAATTCTTCTAATCTAATCAGAAAAAGACATTTTAGAATTAGTCTTAGGTTTGTAGTTAAAGTTTTCAATTTCGGTCAAATCCACAAAGAAATGCATCACAAGAATTGAAATTCGTCTATTGATTCATATGTGCAACTAGTATCAAACTATATGGCCCATGAGATTAGACGGTCCCTATTACTTTTGAGATCCCTAGATCAAATGTCAAGATCACACCAGCAATTGGTAGATTTGCATTGGAACAAAACTTTTGTTTACGGATATCTTTTGAACCATGTTTTCCAATCTTCATCTAACAATGAACTACATTTATTTTTGGGAAAGTAATTAGGCAACTTAAAAGGTCAAAGTCATATAGTACCTAAAGTAAAATACAATTAAGGTACACGTTTCGTTTTCAGGCGTTATCGGCTTTTTAGTCATAAATCAGATCTTTACAATCCATGATGGATAATTATACCATGATATGAAAACATCCCTATTGATTTTAAAGTAATTAGATCAAATTAAGGCAAAAGTCACAACAGAACTAAACTCTTATCGAATTTTGGGTCAGTAGTGCCTATAACTAGGGTGGAATTTTGGGAAACCCACGTTTCCTGATAATACATTTCTAGCTTTAATTCAAATACTTTCCAATCTTTAATGGATAATTGGTTAAATCACAGCTGTAATTGATAAAATGAAATTTTGGGATTTTTTAAGTTATCAATCATTTGACATCAATTTTCAATAGACTTTACAGTTATCATTGCCCAAGTCACCTTATCATTAATAAAAATTTTATTTACAAATATATTTTTTCAAAAGTTTTCAAATGTATTTAAAAGTATGCTCAATTTGTTATACTTAGTATCTTATCCCTTTTTTTTAGCACCGGACTATTTTCCAAGTGCCCACTGTGTGTGTGTGTGTTTTTTTTTTAATATTATTATAATAATACAGTACAGAGAAAAGTATATTTCTAAACATTTTAGTTCGATATGAATTCATTCATTGCTTGAACTTCAAGACACCTGTTTGGTTATATAGGTACCTTGTACGGGGTTGTTATACTAATTTTATGCCTTTCTTCTTTTTCCGAATCTGTCACCTGATTTGTTTTGTTTTGCTCCAACTTCGAAAATTGTAAAAAAAAAAAAAAAAGAAGAAAAAGAAAAAAAGACTCATTTAAGGAGTTCCAAATGTTCAGTCATTTGCCAGAGCGACAAAATATTTTAAGAGATTACCCTGCCTTGAAGATAAAGATTGAAAAAACATCAAATAAGCCAGAGAAAATAGTTGAAGAGTGAACATTATTCATACCCAACTATATCAGTCCTATTCAGGACCGATAACTCTGTCGATAAATATTGTCGGGTATACAATGTTGTTGAAATCAGAGCAAATATTGTATTTTATGTCTCTGTTGAAATGTATACAATAACAATTTTTTTTACACAAGTTTAACTTTATATCGATTTATTGAATGCCTGGATTTTGCTTAAAATATTGAATTAAAAAAATAAATAATAAAATCATATTCAATGAAATCTCGTTTAATTTTTTACGAAATAATACAAAATCCATTTAAATTAAAATTTGAATCAAAATATTTCTTTAAAATAATTATAGAAACAGAAATATTAGTTTGATTATCTTTTAAAGCAAAAAATTTTTTTTTAAAAGATTTTTTTTTATAATATTCATATTTTCTTAAAGATTATTATGATACATACTTCTTCTGGTTTGACACGGGGAAGAGAAGATATTTATTTGTACAGTTATGAAAACTTTTGTATATATCACAAAATTTAAACTCTGGTAATACATGTATACACAGGATGTTTAATGTCACCTGGTTGCTTTTGGTTTGCACGTCTACCTGACAATATATTGTTATGTAACATTACATCCAAAGTCAGAGTTCACCTGTTCGTCAAGTGATGGGATTTTGAAGGTATGGAATATTTATCTATAATAATTGTTGGGATTTTTTTCTCTCTTGGGACGTAAATATTTTTTTGTTCTAAAAGGAATGTATAAATATATTTCTAAAGAAAGATAAATTATACAGAAAACAGCAAAAAAACCTTTTAAAAAAAGAAGAGAAAAAATTTTATTATAAATTTTATTGTTAACTATTTTCTGGTAACAGTATATCCTGGATATCTGTCAAAATAAAATGTTCCCGTGTCACACTTAAAATAATATTTTTTTAATCAATAAAGTTTGAAATCAATCATATCGAAATATCACCAAAGAAAATAACAGAAACATCAGAGATTCAACATGAAAATTAAATTAAATCAAGGAAAGTCTTACTATACAAATCCTCGATTTGATGCAACATTTCCATATACATCATCCGCCATTTTGAAAAATCCCGAAATATTCACTTTTTTAAATCGATTTTTGACCGAAATTGCCCAGAAATTAAACTGTTTTAAATAGTATTTTTCGCCAGATATATGTTTGAATATACTTAATCGATTTGCAAAGTTTAATTTTTATTAACGGAATTTCTTTATTTGTTATACAAGTAGACATGGGTATCGGTTCATTTAGCATTGAGTCTACGGAGAAATAACGAGAAAAAGTACATGTTTTTACGATTCTCCAGTGACAGAATTTAATCAAAAATTAAACTGTTAGGACCAACATTGTTTGATAGAAATATGTTTGAATATCAAGGATTGATTTGCCAAAGTTAGAAAACGGGTCAGGTTCATGAGAAAACTAAACTTTATTGAAGCACCTATGCATTTTATATGGGGCAATATAATACAAAATGGCGGCTAGTATACGTCACAAAAGTCACGTGATGTCTGACTTAGTTGGATATGTTGTTTTTTTAAATAATTTTTCTTACTTTAAATAGTCTTTAGTCATATCTGGTACCAATATGTAAAGGGACTTGTAACTTAGCGTATTGTTCAATTTCAGTTAAAAAATTTAGCTCTAAATTCACATGTGAAACAATGTTTACTTCTTTTTTTTTGGGGGGGGGGGGGGGGGGGGGGGGGACATATCTCTGATAACATTGGTCTACTATCTTCTAACACCTCTTCTTTAGAATAGCTTTTGATATTGATAAAAAGTATATGACTTTGACGAGGAATGATTGCAGGGTGGTAAAAATCGTTCTTAACTTAATAGGGTGGTAAAAATCGTTCTCAACTTAATATGCAATCAAATTGAGGGGAAATCGATTCATCTCTAATTTATAGTTTTTTTTGTTTTTTTTTATCATCATCTCTAATTTATATTTTTTTTTTTGTCAATTTTATCTTCCATGTCTTCTTATGAAAATATTTATGTAGGTTTTCTGGCCATTTAATTTTTTTTCGGAGCCCTTGGTTTTCCTTTGAGCAAATTAGATATCAGTGCAGTGTCTTACATTATAAAAGCAGGCATACAAGTCCCTAGTAAGACTTACTAATTATAGTAATTTGGTACCAAAACATTTTTGAACCATGACCATTTTGTACCATGCCCCAGTGACTGAAGAAAAAAGGACTTTTAACATTTGCTCCAAAAATTAAGAACATAGCAACGTTGAAATCCATAATTAAAACACTATCACCTTCATATCATGAAATATGTTGGTAATTTGGCAAATGGATATTTTGTTTTAAAAAAATATAATCTATGAAATCTTACCAATACATATATTTTTGTTTTGATTATAGTTACAGTGAGAGGATGTGGAGAAACACAGTTCAAAGGTTATCTATTGCAGGCCAGGTTAGCAATGTTTGCCAAACAAGATGTGAAGATTGGGGTGTTTGGTATCTACAACAATGCCCCTTATCAATACACCTGTCCAGATTTAAGACTGGTAAGTAATGGATGTATCAAATTCTAAAAAAGAAGGATATGCCAGTTACTATTTGAAATGAAAATATTTGTAAAACTCCAGTTCAGGAAGACGGATGATAAAAAAAATTTCATATTGAATTTGTGGCACATGTCAAGTTGGTATTGAAAATGTGGTATTATTGAAGATTCAACTACTGTCATAGTCCTAGGCAGTTGACTGATCTTCCAACATGGGAAATATTTGGAAACTTAGCATGGTGAACATTTTTCTCAGACCAAAGAAATAAACCTTCTCTTCAATTAGACTTTAATTGATGCCGCTTGTTCATGGGAATGGCTTAATATTACTACTACAAAAATACCAGACATGTGCCACTTTAGATCAAAATAGCTCATTTTAAACCACATTAGAGAGCTCTACAAACCTCAATGAGAAATGAATCTCCATGTAATGATGTTTACTACTGACTTATGGAAGTTATTTTTTCTGTTTTGTGTTTTGAACTGCTGTTAATTTGAATTCTAAATGCATTAATTATACAAAATTGCATGTTATTTACTATACTTACAAAAATGTTGCTTTCAGGGTACAGTGGGCCAAGCTTTAACTCACAGAGAAAACTCTGATAAAAGTAAACTAAGCTTTGTATGGCAAGCTCCTCCAGTATCTCAAGGTCATGTTGTTTTTATGTAAGTACATTTTGATAAAAATGTTATTATTTTCTTCATATTTTACTGAATGTTAAACCGTATAGCATAATTTTTGTTAACTTCAACATCTATTTATGTATCAAAAAAGAAAGAATGGAACTATTAATCATTTAACTTGAAGGACTTTATTTTGAATAAAAAAATGACTTTTTTTTTTGTAAAAGTTAACTGTCAGGATTAATATAGATCATGCCTGAAAGTTTAATGTATTGTCTGCAAATGTTTGTATCTAAAGTTTAAAGATAAACATTTACATGTTTACAAAGTCCTTATTTTGCACGCAATATGCATTTTTTAGTCTTAGGGAGCTACCATTTGATTTAAATTTTTTATGGGGGGCTAGGATGAAATTTGAAAGGCAGGACAGGAGTTTTTGAGAAAAAAAAAGGCAGAATGAGCAAATTTTTATTGTTTTCTGCTTGGTATTAGATTAATAAATAAGAACCATTTTGTTACATCTGGTGATCTGTTTGTTTGGCAATTGCCAATGGCAGTCAGCAGGATTTAAGAACATCCGTTGTTTGACCTGCTAGTGAAATGCGTTTTGTTAAAATATACTTTTTCACTCTTTTGGTCTTTTGGAAATTGTTGTTTGTGCTGTATTTGTTTTACATGCACACGTATAAAAATTGCGGTTTTTATCCAACGCAATCAGAGGTTTGAACGTTGGTTTCAATTTAGACTTTTATATATTTTTTCGTTTGGGCTTGTATTATATTTTCCTTCGGGTTTATATGATCTGTTCATCCTACTTTGACTCTTTAAAATTCAAGAGTCTATCCTAAATTGAGGTAAATTTTATGGCCTTCCAAATACCGTTTCGATCCCTAACATCACTGAAGAGACATTAATTGTCGAAATCCGGATATGGTGTACAAATTTTTGCACCTCATGTTTGTGGTATACCATCTTTTCCACAAGTTTATTGTTTTCTGTTTGGTATTAAATTAATATTAAAGATCCACTTTGTTAGATCTGGTGATCAATTTAGTTGGCAATCGCCAATGGCAGTCAGCAGGGTTTAAGAACATCAGTTGTTCGACCTGTTAGTCAAATGCGTTTTGTTAAAATAGACTTTTTCACCTTTTTTGGTCTTTTGGAAATTGTTGTTTGTGCTGTATTTAGACCCCTCTACCAAGAAATTTGTTTTACATGCACATGTATAAAAATTGTGGTTTTTATCCAACGCAATCATAGGTTTGAACATTGTTTTCAATTTAGACTTTTATATATATATATATATATATAAACATGTATAAAAATTGCGGATTTTATCCAACGCAATCATAGGTTTGAACGTTGTTTTCAATTTAGACTTGTATATATATATATATATAAACAAGTCTAAATTGAAAACGGTCCAACCCAATCATAGGTTTGAACGTTGTTTTCAATTTAGACTTGTATATATATATATATATAAACAAGTCTAAATTGAAAACGACGTTCAAACCTATGATTGCGTTGGATAAAAACCGCAATTTTTATACGTGTGCATGCAAAACAAATTTCTTGATAGTGGGGTCTAAATACAGCACAAACAACATTTTCCAAAAGACCAAAAAAAGTGAAAAAGTATATTTTAACAAAACGCATTTGACTAACAGGTCGAACAACTGATGTTCTTAAACCCTGCTGACTGCCATTGGCGATTGCCAAATAAACGGATCACAAGATGTAACAAAATGGATCTTTAAAAATTATTAATCTAATACCAAACAGAAAACAATAAACTTGCGGAATAGATGGTATACCGCAAACATGAGGTGCAAAAATTTGTACACCATATCCGGATTTCGACAATTAATGTCTCTTCAGTGATGTTAGGGATCCAAACAGTATTTGGAAGGCCATAAAATTTACCTCAATTTAGGATAGACTCTTGAATTTTAAAGACTCGAAATAGGATGAACGGATCATATAAACCTGAAGGAAAATATAATACAAGCCCAAACGATAAAATATAAACAAGTCTAAATTGAAAACGACGTTCAAACCTATGATTGCGTTGGATAAAAACCACAATTTTTATACGTGTGTATGCAAAACAAATTTCTTGGTAGAGGGGTCTAAATACAGCACAAACAACATTTTCCAAAAGACCAAAAAAAGTGAAAAAGTATATTTTAACAAAACGCATTTGACTAACAGGTCGAACAACTGATGTTCTTAAACCCTGCTGACTGCCATTGGCGATTGCCAAATAAACGGATCACAAGATATATATATATATATATATATATATATAGTTGGAAGCTTCTATGTCATTTGGTCTCTGGTGGAGAGTTGTCTCATTGGCAATCATACCACATCTTCTTATTCTTATATTTGCTATCATTATATGAAGAAAATATTGTTACCCTATGTATCTTGCATGCCAATGATAATAATTAAACATATTGTTATGGTTAAAAAAAAAAAATATTGAATATTTGGTCATCAGTTTACATTTTTAAAAAACAACAAAGTTATTTATGAAAAAAAGTAAATAATGACAGATGTTCATCTATCTTCAGCTTTTGTGTTGCTTTCATATTTTTAGACTATACTGCAATTAAAGAAATATATTATGACAAGCTAACATGGTTGAGGTATGTTTCTGTATCTTTGACTGTTTTACAACTTATTTTTAATATTAAAACATACATTTTATACTCTCAAACATATTATTTTTAGCAATGTGAAACTAATAATATATATTGGAATATTTAACTAAATATTTATTTTTTTCAGCATAACAATTGTACAAAATGTGAATACATATTGGACCAGTGTGAGCTCCCCTATTGTATATGATCAACAAAACAGTGTGCCAGTATCGCAGCAAATTCTGAACAGTTTGTACCATGTTGTCGATCCATCTTGTACCCGTCCACCAATCAACACTACTACAACAACAACATCAACTACTGTGACTACCACAACATCTACTTCCACTACCACAACAAGTCCCACAACTACATCTACAACAACTACCACAACCCCTACCCCAACATCAAAAAGTACAACAACAACTACAACTTCTACCACTACAACTCCAACTACAACTGTCACTACTACTAGCACTTCTGCCCCAACCACAGTCCCAGTGACAAATGTAACTGATGTTACCACCAACAATAGTACAGACAACACAACACAGGATATAGTTACTACAACAGAGGTGTATGTACTGCCTGATGTAAGTCACAAATACATTCAGATGAAAACACTGTTAATGAAGTTATCATTTACTCTTAAGTCATTTATCTTAGAATTACTTGTATGGCCCTTTTCCTGTGTATCTTTATAAAAAAGAGAAGTGAATAGTTGCATTATATTTAGAATTTTGTATAAATTGTGAGTAAAATGGAAATTTTATATGACTGGTTGTAGGAGTCTAAAAGTGCCTCCCATGCCCCCTAAGCTTCCCATGCGTTAAATTCTGGAACATCCTTTAATAGCTTATTGTCTTTTTACGATAAATATTCTGTAAAACAATTAATTGTATCTGATATGATGAATATAAGCCTATCGGGAATTTATATGTAGGAAAAGGACGAAATATATGGTTGTTAAATGAAGAACTGTCAGAATCACAAAATTAAGTAGCACAGTCGAAAAGATATTTTTCCTTGTTCATGAAAAGTGGCATCAGTGATGTAAAATGAATTCACTGCAAAATGTGAATTGAACAAGTATATTGATGAGTTTTATAACTAATAGACTTCCTTTGTGACATGTTGTCATTTATACATGTCTTCAGGTACATGTACCTGTATTTATTTTATGACATTTTTGTGGTACCATAACAATCAAGTGATTTTAAGGAACTTCATCCTTGTAAATCTTTCCTTAGGATGGAACCTTCCTTGATTACATAAAGGGAAGCTGCACATTTTAAGAATTATCCTTATTTACGAAGTATATAAATATTTTAATTTGTTGAAAAAACTCCACTGGCAATACATAATGTGTGATTCAAACTCAGTCTGTTTTTCTTTGTGTGTTGTTTCAAACAATTTCTGGTTTCTAGGGCATTGATTTCTGTTAAGTACTCTATTAAATGACAAATATACCTCTGCTATTCTTGTTATCGATCAATTTTTTTTTTTAATTTGTTAATTTTGTAGAAATAAATATTCCTTGTATACAAGCCTGCAATTACAGTTAATTACAATTAGAAAATGAGTATCTAAAAGATTTACAATTTTAAAGCTATTTTGATTTCTTAAACCCATTTTTTGTGATTTTTTTAAATTCAAAATCATTTGGATGTTTGTAACTTCTTTTTTTTTTCGTTGACAGTATCATATTTTCTAGTTTTATTTGGAAAAAAAGAGAAAAGAGAAAGAAAAAAATTATATGGTTTGAATTAATTAATAAAATAATTAAGTGTTAAAAGTTAGAGTAGAACACAGGTATTCAGCCACAAAGTTGTTCTAAATCTTACTACAATATAGGAAATAAATAGTTAGGTTTTGACAATGTTTGAAGTTATAACTTCACAGAAATGGAATATTAAATTTTTACACTACCTTTCTTAATAAATTTGATTAAACCACCATGCAAGAAGTTACAGAGGGTTTACTGTCTTGTCTCATCTTCCGTAATCACTTTGCTGTTGCTATGCCAGTGCCTTTATTTATTTTTTTTGGATCCTTCTCAATTTAAATTCCAAGAGGAATTTTAAGCTCAAAATCTGCTGCCATTAGTGTTTTTCTCATTTTGAAAGTTTAGCCCACCAATCCACCTTTGAGAGTGGTATTTAAATTTGATGTAAGGAACAGTAACAAAAAATTCTCTGAGAGAACAAATGTTGAGATCTGATATTCTAATCAAATTTTGATATACCAAATTACTGAAGGAATAGATTTGATTTTGATTTTTGGTGTTTTAATGCCACTTTTAAGCACCCCATTTGGCCAATTGGTGGCGGCCAGATTTTATTGGTGGAGGAAGTCGGAGTGCCCGGAGAAAACCACTGACCTTTGATAGGAAAACTGACAATCCTAGTCAATCAAGATTGGAGTCCAGTGCACCCGCATGAGCGGGGTTCAAACTCACAACCTCAGTGTTGACTGGCTAGTGATTACAGTAGTAACCAATCGGCCACCGAGGCCCCTGAAGGAATAGATATTTTATATTTGTATTTCAATTTGAATATGATACATAAATTTATATTACAGGATAGATTGCCAGTTGATAAAGATTGTAACAGGACCAAAGGATGTTTCCATGACTGTGATGAAAACAGTTGCAGTTTTATTGTGTCCTGGGTAGATCGTGCTAATTTCATTGACATGGAATTAAAAACTAAACTTTTGTCAGCTGGAAATAAATGGATTGCAGTTGGATTTTCCTATGACAAGCACATGGTTTGTTAACAATTTCCAATTTTTTTATAGTAATTTCTTTTACCCTAGCATTGTTGCTTTATTTCTATTTCAAATACTGTTTACATTTTAAAAAGCATTTAGGGTCAAAACATTTTTAGTTCTTGAAATATATGGAAGACATTTCTAAATAACATCTTTGCCTAGGGTCAAATCTATTTTTCATGCAGAATTTGTTTGTGGTTTCCTTGTTTTCATAGTGCCTTTAGGTACTATGTATTTAACAATTAATGACTACGAAACTATTTTTAGATTTTCTATGTAAGATTTAGTCTCAAAAAGACATAATTCAGAATTTGATTTTTTATATTTTGCTTTCTCTACATGAAAATATTTATATTTTTGGCCTATTTGGGGACGTAAATGTCAAGGTTTCATTAGAAAATTTCAATAAAAAACATTTTATTTCACTTTTAATTTATTCATCAGCTTTAGCAACACATTTCATAATATAATAATGGACTTGATTTTGGGGATTAAATTAGTCCTAACCACACCTACTTCTTTTTACCTGTAAAGGAATAATGGTGCCAAAATATTCTTATGGTTAAAGACTTATTTCTACTGCATGTATTGTATTAAAAATAATCTGACATGTCTGAGAAGCACATATTTCCTCCAGTTAAATATAATTTTTGTTTGAAGTTTTGTATTCAATATTCAAATCTATACATGAATCAATACCTAACCTATTTTTGCCTCCTAGTTTCTCAATGTCCTTTGGCTTTTCACAATATAACTCTAAGTTTTTGCATCCAATAGTTCAAAACATATATTATATTGGAAAAATTACAGGTGGTTTGTTCTTACCTGAGTGTGATGAAAATTGATTCATTGGCTGTGAATGCTGTTTTTAGGGAAGTAGAAGTTAGAAATTTTCACATTGAAGATTGGCATAATGAGAAAAATATGTGTGACTTTGAGATGAAAAACAGCAATAAAAGCGCTGTTCCTTTGCTTTTTGTATGTTTTTTTTTGCTTTGCCTGTACTGATTTTGTGTCATGGATGGATACCCATATCCTTTGTTTTTTATTATATTTGAGCAATAACAGTGTTTTAATTCTATTGACAGGGCAGTGACAGTGTTATAGAGTGTATGTCAATGGACTACAACATCAGTGTATTTCAGTCTTATAACCTCGATACTCATGCCAATACAAGACTAAGCAATGTAAGATACTTTTATTGTACTATTTGAAAAAAGGAAACAGGAGAAACCTGTGAGAAGAATTAAGTCTGAATTTAATATTTTCAAATTATTATGTAAGGGTGTACATTTTTATTGAACTTAAACTTTGTGATTATGGCTAGAAATGTTTTACTATCTGGTTGATATCCTTTTTTCTACAGATTAGGGCAAATGAGATTTTTTAAATGGATACCCATACCTGGTTTGAGGTTCTTGGAAATATCCCATCTTTTAAAGGACAAGTAGTGAAATACTGGCCAAATCATTTGATATAACTTAGTTTTAACTTAGTGTCTTTTCAAAGATGATTTCATCAGAATTTCACACTCTAGTGTAACCTTAGATTTTACATTTTTGCCTTGACGGAGTCAAAAAGCGAGACATAGGAATGCTGTTTCTGGCGGCGGCGTCAACAATGTATTAGTTTGTGATTAGGTCTAGTTTATGGTGAACCACTAGTGGTAGGTCAATGATATTTGGTATGCAGTTGTATAAGCATTGGCACATCTCATTACCATGGAGATTATTTGGCCATGCCCCCTCAGTCATGGTCTATTGACTTCTAAACTTTGCTTAGTTTACATGTATTAGTTTGTGATTAGGTCAGTTTATGGGGAACCACTAGTGGTAGGTCAATGATATTTGGTATGCAGTTGTATAAGCATTGGCATATCTCATTTCCATGGAGATTATTTGGTCCTTCCCCCTTGGTCATGGTCTATTGACTTTGAAACTTTTGCTTAGTTTTCATGTATTAGTTTGTGATTAGGTCAGTTTAAGGGGGACTGTTAGTGGTAGGCCAATATTTATTGGTATGCAGTTGTATAAGCATTAGTACATCTCATTTCCATGGAGAATATTTGGCCCCGCACCTCAGTCATGGTCTATTGACTTAGAAACTGTTGCTTAGTTTACATATGTATTGGTTTGTGATTAGGTCCGTTTAAGATAAACCACTAATGTTAAGTCAATGATATTTTGTATGCAAATGTATTGGCATTTGCAAGTTTCATTTCCATGGAAATTATATAACCCCACCCCCTCATTATGGTTCATTGACTTTGAAACTTTTACATAGTTTACAAGTTAATGTTTGTGTTTAGATTTGTTTAAAGGGAAAGACTTATGAAAAGTCAATGGTATTTGGTATGCAGTTGTATTAGCATCGGCACATCTCATTTCCATGGAGATTGTTTAGCCCTGTACCTTCAGTCATTGTTCATTGACTTTGAATATTTGTATAACTTACATGTTAAAGTATTGCTACTTTAATTTCAATATTTGCATCACTATCAAAATAACAAATAGGCGAGACATATCTCTGTGTTAACAGTTTATTTTACAGTTATGAAAACTTTGTTCTCAAATAAAATATGTGTTCTGTATTATTTTAAGATCCCCGCAAATTAAGTTTGTATTTGAATAGCCCTGTCTTCATGTCTGGGAAATAATCAAAACTCAATCCATTCTTATAAGATTTTTTGTAAGTGCATTTCCTCCTATTATGAATTGTATGGTTGATTTCAATGAAATTTGACACAGAGATACCCATGTGAAGATGTACCTGAAGCAAAATAATTACTTAGACATTTTGTAAATACTTGACCTAATATTGATAATATAACTTGGAAAGTGGTCCCTGGAAGACACCATAGCTAGACACCTTTATCCTGCTAATTGCAAGTTATTATTTAGAGATTGATATAAAAAAGTTGAGGGTTTTTTACAATGCACATAAGATTTAAGCAGAATAATAATTCAATTTTACAATTAAGTGCAACGTTAATGACATTATAAATGTGATACCAGTAAATTAATCAATTGATATTAATTTAAACTTTTATCGTTCATCAACAGCCTAAACTAGGAATATCTAATGAACAAGGATCCTTTGTGGATGGCACATTTTCCTGTAGTTTTACCAGAAAGAAGATAGTTCCAGAAGAAAGTAGGATTTTTGACTTAAGAAATGACTGGTACCTTATGTTTGCTACTGGATCCTCTATGTCAGGTATGGTTATTCTATAAATAGAACATTTTTTTTTAAATGTCTGATTCCAAAGTCATAGAGTGGATTTAATAGAATGATTCACTACATCTGGTTTAAAACTTTATGCAGACTGATTTATTGCATATATATTTGAGTTATTGATGAAGCTGAAATTGTCAATATTTTAAATAATTTTGAAGCAATGTTTGAATTTCATGTGCATGTATATTAACAAGTTATTTATTTTATTTGTTGTCTATATATTTTTTTTGTGTATTTTCTGATGACACTTAAATTCTCTTTTATCTAATGGAGACATCATTTATAATGAATATATATAATTTGACTAATTTAAGATGCTTTAACTAATTATGCAGGTATGTGTTTATACATTGTTTATTTTTTCTCTGTTATCTTCTTTATTAGAATTGTGCATGTACACAAATATAAGTGATGTTCGCTGATTTAACTCCCAAGTACCAACAAATATGTTCAATAGAGAAAGTATGATACATCTAAACTATATTTTTTTCAGTTGGTTCTTATGTTGTGTTGGAACACCGTAATCCCAGGTTAGGGGGTTGAGTGCTCACAAACACTGCCACATTCTTTAGGTGCCTGTTCCAAGTCAAGAGCCTGTAATTCAGCGGTTGTCGTTGGTTACTGTCTGCCATAACTATTTTTTTGTTTATTGTTGTAGAATAGATCAGGCCATTGTTTTTCTCTTTTGAATTGTTTCATATTTTGTTGTCTTTTTATAACTTACTATACGTAATGGGTTTTTATATCATTGTTGAAGGCTGTATGGTGACCTGTTCTTATTCATATTTTTGCCCTTTGGTCTTTAAGGGTTGGTGTCTCATTGGGAAATCATACCACTCATCTCTTCATTTTTATTTTGAAAAACTAGTACTTTTTCTGTTGGAAAAGTTTATCTGGATTCAATGAATGTTAAAATATGTGAAAAATGCATTAAGAATTACAAGAATTTTAGGAAATGCTTGTCAAAAAGATATAAAATGCTTTGCTTATGACAAAGCCAGATTAGTCACAGAATACTTTGAAAAAGTTTAAAATGGAAATAGCTACCACCCTTTTATTTTTTTTTCAAATGTTTAAAATGGAAATAGCCACCACCTTTCTATTTTTTTTTTAAATGTTTAAAATGGAAGTAGCCACCACCCTTTTAGTTTTCGTCGTAATGTTACTGTTCATAAACAGCATGTCAAACATTTATTTGTCATTACTCTTTAAAAGTAATGGTTTTATTCATTTTTTCTGTATATTTTGCATGCACTTTGAAATATTTGGGAATTTTTAACTTGTAATTCATTGTTAAAATAAGATACATGTTCAAGTTTATTATTACATATATCTAAAAAGTCTCTTTTTCTGGCTACCAAATCAGTATAAAGCATCACTGTTAAGCTGCATGTAAATTTATAATTTATGTTTCAAGACATGAAATGGTCAAACAAATTCTGCACAAATGTTTGTGCATGCCATATGTATCTTAGATTCTTTTACATATTCAGTTCATTTTGGTATTACTAATAGATGTTTATTTTACTCCTTTACTATTATCCTATTAAGAATTGATTGATTGTTGTTTACTTATCATCTATGTTTATAAGGAGCATTGAATCATGTGATCATGTTTAATTCCATGAGGAAAAACTATCATGTGATCATGTTTAATTCCATGAGGAAAAACTATCATGTGATCATGTTTAATTCCATGAGGAAAAACTATTATGTGATCATGTTTAATTCCATGTGGAAAACCTATCAAATTAGCTCCATCTAGTTGATACATATGTCAGAATGGAGACAGTTATAGATAAAAATCACAAGTAAAAACTAAATTACTTTGGATTCATTTCTTTTCGTAGGTACTAATTTTTCGTGGATTGAGAAAAAAAAGTATTTTCATGGATATTTGATTTTTTGGTTATCGCCAAGTTTTTGTATAAGTATAAAGAAAACTTGTTCTTCGTTGAAATTTAAATTCATGAATTACCTTTATACACAAATTGCATGAAAAATTGGTATACCATGAATAATAATGGATCCACAGTACACTAGTTTACATGCCTTAATTCAAATGTATGAACTGTAAATATATCCTTTGAATGTAGATTTTGTAAGACAATCAGATGATATAACACATTTTATGCAAATGTACAAAATCTGTAATCAGTTCTGTCATACTTATAGTTGATAACTTGTTTTGTAGGGATGAAACTTCCACATCAGTATGACCCTGCTCCTCCTACATCTCTAACAAAGATCAATTTACAGGAATATTTACAGTACATGCCAACCACTCAACCAGCTCCAACACAGCCACCAACAACAACCAAGACAAGTACTACAGTAACAACACAACAACAATTGACTTCGAAACCACAACCAACAACAACCACCACTGTAGCCACTACTACCAAGAAAACATCACCTGCTGTTGTAACAACACCATTTGCTAGGACAACTACAACAGAAACTACCACTAAACATAACAATGACAAATTTCAGGTAATGTGAGCTTGGAATCATATGGTAATTTGTTTCTGGAAAGTGAACCACCATGTCATACTTTTAATCAACACTTAATATTTGAATGTCCTTCAGTTTACTATCGTTAGAATCAGATTTTTTAAAGCTTGCAGATTTGAATTGCAAGTTGAACGGCCTTTATTTTGACTCTTTTAGCTCATGGAGCTTGAGCATCAGTGGTACCATTTCCTGCATGGAACCAAGTGCTCTAGTCATTTAAACACAAGCACTTTAAATGTATTTGATTAATAAGTATCTGTTCTGTGCCTTGTAAATAGAATTATGAATCAATACACAACACATTATTAGCATGAATAATAATAATCATCATATCTTTATTGGTTTTATTATGCTAAGGTTCAAATTTAAATATGAAAAAGTGTATAAAATTTGTGATTATTAATACCTTCCTGATTAATTAAAAAAAGATATGAATAAAAGGGAGATGTGGATTATTCATCAATGAGACAGCAGCCCAACAAAAAAAAATACCAACAGACTTCTAGAGGGCAACTTACAAAATTGATCATTACCAAATGATATAATAAATAAGGGTAATCCTTTTTGGAATAAGAAACTTATGTTTTTGATTGATTTATGGAAATTGGATATGTAAGCTTTCTCTCTTAAAGATTACTGTAAATTTAGAAATTAATGCGTTCATTCATTATTGGGATTTTTGAAGAATGGACAAAAACGCGAGATTAATTATTGCGATTTCTGGAAAATCTGCCTATGGATATGGGTGTCAGATATGAAAATGCGAGTTCTTATTATTGGGATACTCACCTAGTGACAATATTCGCATTAATAAAAACCTTTCAATAACTTCTGAATTTTCAGTATTTCATTATAGTATAGTAGTGTTTTGTTTTACTTGTACAGAAATTAAGTCTGGAGAAAGATTTAGCCTGTGGATTGACTAAAGGCTGTTATTATGATTGTAAAAATGATTTGTGTGAATTCATAATATCTTGGAGGGACAAAGGAGACGATATCCAGTTTGACATCAAAAGTCGTGCGTCATCTCCTGATCCAGATAATATGTGGATAGCTATAGCCTTCTCACATGATCAGAATATGGTATGGGTTACAATGCATTTTTTAAAAACAGCCATAGAATTTTTTCATCAAGTCCATGTGTATAATAACTACTGGTACTGTCTTTACACTGGTTTGAACAGTTAAGATTACTTAAAGAAGGGATAAGATTGGTCAATGATTACTTTTCTGTTCTACCACACAACTCAATATGAAAAAAGGCTTAAATCAAAACAATATTCGTAAACTCTGATATTTTTCTCTGGTAAACCTTTTTTTTTAAATTTGATTATCAAGACTTGCAACACAAATTTTTGGTTTCAATATGCATAAATATTCATAAACCATGCTTATAAGAATTTTCTTCTTAATAGATATTTTTGATAGATAAAAAGTTCCTATATTTTGAGTTACATGATGGGTTAACTATATACATTTTCTATACAATTTTACCCTGACTTATATCTGATTTTATTGACTTTCAGGGAAATGACAATGTAATAGAATGTGTGACTAATGAAGGTTTTATGGATGTTTTCCAGTCTGTCAATTTAGATTCCAAAACTAACCAAAGACTTTTAGAGGTATGTTTGCACATTTATGCAAAGTAATTCTATGTTCAATTTCTGATTAAATTTATTTTTTTCACTATTTAGCATGTAAAACAACATGATAGTGTTCATAGAGAGAATGAATCAACAGGCATGAGAAATACAGTACCAATTTGACAACAACACTTCATGAGACTTCAATTAAAATACTGGTCAACATGTTTCTCCCGCCAAGCAGGTTTCATCAGGATTATTTTCATATAGAAATTAAGCACTGAAGTACAAAGCTTGGTACATTAAATTTGATGTCTCAATGATGCATGAAGAAAAGCATAATTAGAAAACTGCCTCTTTCATTCTTAAGTACCTTTTTTATTCAGCCAAAGAAAGGACTAAGTGGAATATATGGTTCAATCCAGGATGGTATATTCCATTGTAAATTCACCAGAAAAAAGCAAGTTGTTGGAGAAGATGCACTACTTAATTTGAACGAAGATTTTCACATTATGTTTGCACATGGACCAGCTACAAATGGTAATAAAAGATATCAGTAGTCTTATAAATTAAATAAATTGAGTAATTTAAGTCAAGCAACTTTTGATATGATTATTCCCGATATCAAAGGAAATTTACACAAATGCTAGTGATAATTGTCACTAGTTTTAATATGCATATATATCAGTGGCTTTACTTTGTTAGTAATTTCCTTCAAGGGAAAATATTGTCCAATATGTATGCAGAAACCCTTCAATGTTTATTTTCAAATTGTTTTAAATTTAATAATAAATTATTGGGGTTTATTTTCTAATAGATGAATTATCTTGTAAAATTTCTTGATACACTGTTAGATAGATAAGAACATTTTACATAAATTAAACAGAATAAAAAATTCTTATTTCAGGAAAACTTCTTCCCCACAGCATCCAGAAAATTCCAATAGTATCATTAAAATTGGTGGATTTCCAGAAGAATTCATCTCTCTCAGGACGAGTGATATACTATCTCATTAAATTTCATGGTAATTGTATTTATATAGTTAAATAACAAAGCTCATTTCTATAATCTTACCTTAATTATGGTATGTTAAACTGCAATCAGCTATTTTACTATACAGATAAAGCTATACGTATAAACGTTAGCTTTATACGTCAATGACCTCAACTAACCTATTAGCCACGCCTACTTACCGGAACTACTGTATTTCATCAACAATGTCACGTCACAACCATGACAACGTGTAGTAACAATTGTCAAACTTTTGTAAATTTAAACTTGTTAAGTCTTGAAATTTGTAATTTACATACCATGTTTATTAAATATTATTAAATTAGTTTATTTTCTCAGGCTTTCTAAATCCTAAAAATGTCAATGTCTTATCGCCTGGACTTTATGAGTTACTACGCTTATAGGGAAATACCCAACAATGGTACCCCAAGAGGGAAATTCCAAACACTTTTTTTTTAACAATAAATTTGTTACGTATTTTATTTTTTTTTTATGTTTTTTATCGATTTCAGTATAAAGACAATATACGTATAGTGTCTTGAAATATGAAATTTATTTGTTTTCGGCACGAAACAGGGGGAAATGCTCGGTGAACCTCGCATTTCCCCCGTTTCTTAGCCTCATACAAATAAATTTCATATTTGAAGACACTATACGTATATTGTCTAACTATACTTTAAACATCAAGCAGATATGTATGTTGAACATGTGGGTAAGAATCAGATTCACTTTACCTACAATCCTTCCCCATCAGAGGTGTAACATTAAAAGGCTTTTATAAAAATGAAAACTTCATGATACATGTAACATAATATCCTGTCATGATTTTAAGGCTCTTCCAATGCAATACTGTGGATTTATTTTTGTGTGTACCAATATTTGTTGACTAAGGAAAAATTGTATATTTGTGGATACTTGACTTCATGGTTTTTGTCAAATTCTGCATACAAGCCTAAAGGAGATTTGTTTTTTATTAAACTCTTAAATTCATTTCTTACCAGTACCCATGAAGTTATCAGTTATCTCTGTACTAATTTGTTTTTAAAAATCAAAGAACTTATCTCCTCATGGTTGAGGAAGGAAGTGACTGAGAGGGCAGTATAAAATTCTCAAAATATTTTGGTATAATCAGAATTTTTTATTAAGTAATTAAGTGTAAAAATTGTGTAGTTAGGAAATGAAAGCAACACAGTATGTTTCTATGCTATTCCAATGTCCTACATGATTTGTATTTCCTAGTATTAATATGTTTTCTAACTGAATTTTCAGGTGCATTGATGATATTTGCATGGATTGGTTGTGCCAGTATAGCTATAGTTATTGTTAGATACTATAAGAGGATATGGCCAGGAAGTACTATCTGTGATGAAAGGATCTGGTATCAGGTACTTTATTTTATTGAAAAAATATATTGTTTACCATAGTTTACATTCCAGTTGCATACAACTTGATTAGTTGTACAAAAGTTTTTAAGCATTAGTTAATCTCCAGCTTAGCTGCCTTGAGGGGCGGAAGGATCTTTTTGGGGACGTCAGGATTGGGCCTTTATTTTTGCAGGAATTTCAGATTTTAGCGTTTATTTTTCGCAAGAATTCAGGATTTACACCTATCAGGACTGGGGAATTAATGGTTAATTTATTGGGATCCCAGGAAAGAATACTTTAATTTTTCAGGAATTTGGGATGACATCCCCACCTACCACCCCTCTGCCTTACATATTCACAAGTTTATTAGCTCACCTGACCTAAAAGGTCAAGTGAGCTTTTCTCATCACTTTGCGTCCGTCGTCCGTCGTCCTGCGTCCGTCGTCCGTCGTCCGTAAACTTTTACAAAAATCTTCTCCTCTGAAACTACTGGGCCAAATTTGACCAAACTTGGCCACAATCATTATTGGGGTATCTAGTTTAAAAAATGTGTCCGGTGACCTGGCCAACCAACCAAGATGGCCGCCATGGCTAAAAATAGAACATAGGGGTAAAATGTAGATTTTGGCTTATATCTCTGAAACCAAAGCATTTAGAGCAAATCTGACATGGGGTAAAATTGTTTATCAGGTCAAGATCTATCTGCCCTGAAATTTTCAGATGAATCGGACAACCCGTTGTTGGGTTGCTGCCCCTGAATTGGTAATTTTAAGGAAATTTTGCAGTTTTTGGTTATTATCTTGAATATTATTATAGATAGAGGTAAACTGTAAACAGCAATAATGTTCAGCAAAGTAAGATCTACAAATAAGTCAACTTGACCAAAATGGTCAGTTGACCCCTTAAGGAGTTATTGCCCTTTATAATCAATTTTTAACCATTTTTCGTAAATTTTTGTAATCTTTTACAAAAATCTTCTCCTCTGAAACTACTAAGACAAATTTAACCAAACTTGTCCACAATCATCATTAGGGTATCTTGTTTAAAAAATGTGTCCAATGACCCCGCCCGCGAACCAAGATGGCCGACATGGCTAAAAAATATACATAGGGTAAAATGCAGTTTTTGGCTCATATCTCTGAAACCAAAGCATTTAGAGCAAATCTGATGAGTATAAAATTGTTCATTAGGTCAAGATCTATCTGCCCTGAAATTTTCAGACCAATCAGGCAATCCGTTGTTGGGTTGCTGCCCCTGAATTGGTAATTTTAAGGAAATTTTGCCGTTTTTGGTTATTATCTTGAATATTATTATAGATAGAGATAAACTGTAAACAGCAATAATGTTCAGCAAAGTAAGATCTACAAATAAGGCAACATGACCAAAATTGTCAATTGACCCCTTAAGGAGTTATTGCCCTTTATAGTCAATTTTTTACAATTTTCATAAATTTTGTAAATTTTTGTAAATTTTTAAAAGTATTTTCCACTGTAACTACCGGGCCAAGTTCATTAAAGATAGAGATAATAGTAAGGAGCAAGAATATTCAGTAAAGTAAGATCTACAAACACATCACCATCACCAAAACACAATTTTGTCATGAATCCATCTGTGTCCTTTGTTTAATATGCACATAGACCAAGGTGAGCGACACAGGCTCTTTAGAGCCTCTAGTTTTTCAGTAGTTGAAGAAGGCCTTTAATGGAACCATTTTATATGAAATACTTTTGACAAAAGAATATACAGAATTTTTAACTCTTGGCATGTATATTTTTCTGTTGAGAGTGAAGAATTATTGTATTACACAAATAATTATAGAAGATATTTATGCAAACCACGTTTATTCTGGTTATCTTCAACTAAATTACAATCATTTTATTTGAGGTAATCTATAAGATCATCTTTTTTTCATTGTATTACAATGGCAAAACAACCAGTTCAACTGAGAACCAGCAATCAAGATTTTGATTATCGTGATAATAGATAAAAAAACTAGTGGGTGGAGTTTAAATATTTTACCGGTAAGATTAAAAAAAAAATTATTTTATGTCACTTTCTCCATCCTTAATTTTTAAAATAAGAAAATGATTTGTGTAATGAAATGAAATTTAACTAAATGCCAAAGTAACAGATTTGCATAGGAAAAATAAAAGTATCTATTGTTTTTTTACAGGTACACAGATTGATGATGATAGTTGTATTCCTATGTGTGATAATTAGTGCCATATTAGTATTTCTAGATGTGGAAGGATATAGTAAGGTAAGATGTATGGTAGAACATATATGATATAAGGTCAAAACTGAAATGGAATACGAGATTTGTTAGAGCAATTCAGAAAACATGACTTGGAGAATAATAATGTAAAATTTTAATAAATCTGTATAATGACCATCATTTTCACTTAAGTGAAACAGCAAATGCATGTCTGAATTACTAGTATTGTTTTTTTGTCAAGATTTGAACTGGCTAAGATGATTGTAGGTATAAACTGCTTTGTTTATACTATAACCTTTTTATATTTTTGCAGTCAAATTGTACATTTGTGATAAATATTCATTGAGCATTCAAATTCTTGTTTTTAGACATGATATGTTGAATGAGTAGACATTCACTATTATTCTATGTTGTATAATCACAGCCTGGGTAACTTTATTTCAAATCAGATACAAATTTTATTAGTAATTGACTAAAAATGGAAAAAACAGACTGAAAAAAGCCTTACTTTTCTAAATGTTCCGAACATAAAGTTTTATTCCAAGATGATTAATGGTAGTGTTTTGAGGTACAGTTATATCTAATTTCCATGTGTGTGTATTCTTCTTTTTACAGATAAATGGTCAGATGTTTCATCAAGCCCATCCTATAATTGGAATTGTTGTACTAGTTTTTACAGTAGCTAATGTAAGTAGATTGCTATCCTGAGCTACCATTCCTTAAAAATAAATGAACATATTAAAGACCACTGAAATTTTTGGAACATTAGAAATCATGATACACACATTACAGAATTTGCAGAATTAATGAAAATGACAATGTGTAGACATTTGTCTATTGTTGAAGACTGTATGTTGCTCTCTAGGTGTCATTTGTTTATTTTTTTATGGTTTGGTTCGTGGTATCAGCTGAGTTTTGGCAACAAGGCTGCATATTCATGTTGTAACGACACATCTAGTTTTTTTGGAGGTTTTATTTTTGCCAAATCCTTAAACAGTCTGAAATCGCATACTTACTTTCATTGGCTTAACTAATTTGAATGACTAATGTCAATGAGGATAAAAAATCAAGGTCAAGGAACAGTAAATATGCATTATCTATTGAAAGATTTGTATTCATTTTAAGACATGTTGAACTTTAACTGAAAATAAAAAGCTCTTTTATAATGTGAAAGTAAGTAATAATGTGAATGCAATTTTTTCACAAGAATTTTCAATCAGCTACATATATCAGAAAATTCTTTTTTTTAGGTCAATAATTTTGGTCACTTTTATTTAAATTAGTTATAGACATTATTGAGAAATGAACACATTAAACTTTTTCAAACAAAACACATCTGACATAAACTGGAAATACAAATACCAATTTTCAGTAATCAATATATGTATAATAGGCTATTTAGATGTTATTTTGTAATATTCTGTAATTCACTTGCCAATTGACCATTCAGGAAGTGAATAATCTGAATTTGAAAAATCCTTTGCGAGAATTATTTTTATCATTTATATTTTTATTGGTTTTTTAATCAAATAAGAGCCTTTTCAGTAAATTTTTTTAATTAATTTACATGAAAATGTGATATTTTTATTGTATTAAATATTTGTATGCATATTTTTTTTTCAGCCAATAGTCGCATTGATCAGACCATTACCAGGTTCAGTCAAAAGAAAATGTTTTAATTGGATACATTGGGGGTTAGGTACCATAGGACATATTTTAGCAGGTAACATTTTGGTGATAATTTTAGTATTAAAAAGGATTTGCAAAAGTAAAAAAAAAAATAACCAAGTCACATGCATATCTTTTTCAATTTTTGAAAAGAGAGCTTCCAACAATTGCTTAGAATAAAACATTTGTAACGAAATGATTTAATGTAACAATTTTCATGTATGAATAACCTACTTTTTGTTACACAGTAAGATTGTCTGGGTCACGGCATCAAACACACTTTAAAAGAACTTACAATATAATGAAAGTTTTTTTTCTTTGCAGTTATTAATATATTTGCTGGTTTGGAGCTTGCCAAAGCAGGTGCCCCTCCATATTTAAGATGGGTAATGGTAGCTTATGTAGCCTATTACATTACTGTCAACATGATATTAGAAATAAGTGACTGTGCTCTAACAAGGAAAGGTTAGTATAACAACATCAATTTTTCCTGAATTTCAAAACAAAGTTTGCTGTACATTTGAGTTTTATATAGTGGGGATTCATTTATCTTTGTGGGTTGAAGTAAGCTTGCATTTTCATTGATATTTGTTTGCATGGTTTTGCCAAAATCTGCATGTATTCCTATAGAAAATTTGTAATTAGTTGAATTCTTTTATTAATGGTTAGCCGGTGTTCACAAATTCATGAAAATTGGTATCCAATGAATAATTATGAATCAACAGTAACTTTTATTGTTTAAGGCTTCATTGGTTTATTTTTTAAATTATATGACCTAGTTAGTTCTATGGTAATAAGTGACCTACAATTGTATCACTTCATTTATAGATCCATATATTGGACAAAAAGTAGGTCACTATGGTATACAGTTTTATTCTTTAACAGGTATTTAAGATTCATGCTGAACTTCATTTCTGAGTCAAGTGACCGACGTTGAACTAACTTGGTGTAAGGATAGTATAACACACACCCTTTATGCCATGTTATGCATTTCATGTAACTTTATTGACAAATTTTACATACAAGTTCAGTACAATCATATATCTTGTTGCATAGAAGCATTTTATTGATTGACCTACTTTTCATGCTTCATTTCCTTAGATTAGGTCCATGTTCACACTGAGTCTTAAGCAAGTTTTAAACAAGTTTAATTGAATTTTTCAACATTAATTATAAATAAATACTGCATTAAATTTCAAACACTTGCAGCTTTTAATTAACTTTGGAATATAGAATTGAATGCATGTCAAACATGTGACGATGATGTCAAATTTTTATACGCCCGTCAAATTTTTGACGGGACGTATTATGGTATACAAATGTCCGGCGTCTGTCTGTCCGGCGTAAACATGTCGCACCGTAACTTGAGAATGAATTATCCAAATTTCATGAAACTTAACATAGTTGTTTCTTATGATGGTCAAACGATCTGTATACTTTTGGTGAAAATAAGATTAAAACTTTTTGAGTTACGGGACTTAGTAACTAAAACAGGTGTGTGTTTTTTTTCACATGTCGCGCCGTATCTCAAAAACAATTTATGATTATTGCTTAAAACTTTACACACTTCTTAGTTATATTAATCTTAAGATCTGTATACTTTTTGGTGATGATTCAAAATTTTATTTTAGAGATATTGAGTATTTTGTTAAAAAAGGGGGAGGGGTTTTTCACATGTCGCGCCGTATCTCAAAAACAGTTTATGATTATTGCTTAAAACTTTACACACTTCTTAGTTATATTAACCTTAAGATCTGTATACTTTTTGGTGATGATTCAAAATTTTATTTTTGAGTTATTGAGTATTTTGTAAAAAAAGGGGGAGGGTTTTTTCACATGTAGCGCCGTATCTCATAAACAATTTATGATTATTGCTTAAAATTTTACACACTTCTTAGTTATATTAATCTTAAGTAGATATAAGAAGATGTGGTATGAGTGCCAATGAGACAACTCTCCATCCAAGTCAAAATTTATAAAAGTAAACCATTATATTATAAGATCTGTATACTTTTTGGTTTTGATTCAAAATTTTATTTTTGAGATATTGATTTATTTTTTTTTTAAAAGGGGGGTTTTCACACATCTCAAAAACGATTTATGATTATTGCTTAAAATTTTACACACTTCTTAGTTATATTAATCTAAAGATCTGTATACTTTTTGGTTTTGATTCAAAATTTTAATTTAGAGATATTGAGTTTTTTGTAAAAAAAAAGGGGGGTTTTCGCATGTCACGCCGTATGTCAGAAACTATTTATGCTTATTGCATAAAAATTCACACACAAGACGACGGGCGTATCATGCGCTCATGGCACAGCTGTTTATTATTTCAAAGATGTAAAAAATACAACTTGTGTACGCAAAACATGGGCAGTATAAATGCTGCCTAGGATTTCCTGTGGGTTTTTTTTCTTGCAAAGTAGCTAATATACAGTCAATAAGACTTTAATAATGTGAAGAGAATTCTTTACACATCAGATTGCTGTGAACAAAATAATGTGAAGAGAATTCTTTACACATCAGATTGCTGTGAACAAAATAATGTGAAGAGAATTCTTTACCCATCAGATTGCTGTAAACAAAATAATGTTGTCCTGACCTACATATTCTCTCACTCATTGGTTAGATTTTACATCATTTCTCTGATAATTTCCAAGTGATATAGATGCATCTTCTGGCTGATTGCAGTTAATGTCCCATGAGATGCAGCCATCATGTCCCATGAGATGTAGCAATCATGTGCCATGAAATGTAGTAATCATGTGCCATTAAATGAAGTAATCATGTCCCATGAGATATAGTAATCATGTCCCATGAAATGAAGTAATCATGTGCCATGAGATGTAGTAATCATGTCCCATGGGATGTATTTGTCATGTGCCATGGGATGTATTTGTCATGTTCCATGGGATGTATTTGTCATGTCCCATGAGATGTAGTTGTCATGTCCCATGAGATGTAGTTGACTTGTCCCATCAGATGTAGTCTTCATGTCCCATGAGATTTTGCTTTCATGTCCCATGAGATATAGTCGTCATATCCTTAAGATGTAGTTGTCATGTCCTATGAAATGAAGTCACCATGTCCAACATTCAAGTCTTTTCTCCCTTAAGATTATAAATGTTATGGGGAAGAGGCAAACTTTTGAATAGTAAAATATTGTGTTTATAGGATGAAAATCCTTTATTTACAACATAAAATCATATATTTCAGAACGTAAACAGGACGATACTTACATGTATGAAATGCACAGAAAACCAATGTATTATTCACACAGCAATGCACATTTACAGTTAGAACCATCAGTAAGTGTTTATTATTTTTTTTATAGTTGATGCTAAAATGCACACATATTGACTTACAAATAATGAATATCTTATCAATAGATCAACACATTTGGTACTGTAAAGGTGGAAATTTTCGTGCTTGGGCTATTTTCGGTTTTTTCACAATCATGTCAAATGATTGAAAATATCCCCTGCTGTTTGAAGAAAGCAATAATCATGATAATAATCCTGAGGTTTGTAGAAAGCGATAATCATGATAATAATCCTGAGGTTTGTAGAAAGCAATAAACATTATAGTAATGATGTAAAGTGAAAACTTGCCGTTGTCATTAATGCATGCATTTAACCCCAATGCAAAATGTCTATACATTGGGAATTGTCAATGTACTGTGGATTCATTATTAGGGCCCCGCCGAAAGGCGGCCGCCCTAAAGTGATCAGTCTGTCCATCCGTCTGTCCGTCCGTCCATCTGTAACAAATCGTGTCCGCTCTATATCTTGAGAACCGTTATGATTTCAAAGTTTATACTTGACATGTATATTAACCAACACCAAAGGGTGTGTCATAATGTATGTTCAACTTCCTAGGTCAAAGGTCAAGGTCAAAAACTTTGGTTTTAGTTGACAACCCCATGTCCTATGGTAAAGATCGTGTCCGCTCTATATCTTGAGAACCGTTATGATTTCAAAGTTTATACTTGATATGTATATAAACCAACACCAGAGGGTGTGTCATAATTTATGTACAACTTCCTAGGTCAAAGGTCAAAAACTTTGGTTTCATTTGACAACCCCATGTCCAATGATAAAGATACAAATTTTTTACCACACATTATTCACAGCGGGGCCCACAGAGATGGCTCCCGTCTCAATGATATCTAGTTATTCATGTTATTCCAATTTGTGTGTATTTTGTTAGGAAAGATGAACTATGAATTTAAAGTTTCAATGATGTACAAATTTTCTATAGGCTTGTTTGCAGACTTTGGCAAAAATCACAAAATCAAACATCAAAAATGTTTCCTCTATCCACTAAAAGAATTAAATCAACAGTAGTAACCTGCAAAAATATCTACAGTTACAATATTTGATAAGAAGTTAAAGCTGTTGATAAAAAAATTGAATATAACTTTTTGATAAATTCCTTGAAATCAAGTCATGGGTTTTTTTGCAGAGGAGTTGTAACAAATTGAGGACAAACTCTTTTTAGGAAGAAGGGTATGCTTATAAATTTTTTAAGCAACTGGCTAAAAAACATTTTTTAAATGAAATGTTAAATCTTAATGATATATTGTTTAAAACTAATTCTTTTCCTTTTACAGTATAGCAGATTAAAGAAGGTAGTGATGGGAACACATATACTTATAATAACAGTGACAACATTACTTCTCATTATTATGTTAATTATTGGTGGGTAGGAGTAACACCTCAGAGAGATTTAAACCCAGTATTAGTGTTGCCATATGATGCTCTTCAGTCAACAGTGCAACGCTTGATGTGAATAAGGATATGATATCGTTTAAGTGATTTACACAGTTCAGTGGATATGTTTTGTAAAGATATTTGAATTGAGTGTATCCTATACACAGTAAAAGGAGAAGTATTGTGATGACTTATGATGTTAATTTTTCCTTTAATATTTATTGAGTATTTATAATGTGCTATAAAGTAAATAAAAGTAACCAAAAGTTTGTATTTTCTGTACATTTTAATAATCTCCAATGAATTGGTTAATCCATAAATGTATTTGATTATGTTTATTTTTATATATAAAAAGACTAAAAGTTGTGTTTTGTAAAGATATGTACTGTACTGTTATGCATAGGTAAAATACTTTTCTCTGACACCATTTACATATCTAATTTCAAATGAAAGGTTTGGAAAATAACATTTGATAACACGTTTATTAATTTTTGTGTGCTGGTAAAAGCAATTCGATAATTTTCTGATACTTGACTCTTTTTTTAACCTTGGTTGCTTACATCAGGTGACAGGTTTTAACATGACTACCAAATAGACACATTTCCTTTAACAAACACTGATAGCAATATTTTATTTCTGTGATCTGTGCTTCTGTTTGCATCTTGTTTGAAAGCATAACCACCACAGTCCCATTAGTGGTTTTCCTAAAAAAAATCTTTACAAATAAGATAGTCTTATATCTTTTGAGCACACCAAACCTTCAAAGCCAAATATTTTTAACAACAAAGAAAAATGTTTGCATCTGAAAAATGTTTCCCAAGTCTTTGATAGTTTTGAGCATAATTTGTTTGTGCAATTTGCCTTAAGTTAATTCTTTATAAGTTATCTTGAAAATTATGTAGTTGGTCATTTTAATAAAATAATTATACTGCTGATAAATTACTTTTAGCGTGCAAAAAGAGAATTTTAAATACTGTTTTTTTTTTTTTGTTAAAGGATGACAAAATACTTCTTCTATATCATCACACTATTTGTTATTAATTTATCATCAGCTGAGCTGCTTCTTAAAGTCTTTAGTTCAGTGAAATGTTTTTTCATGAATAAATTCTGTATTTGCCTTTTATTTGTGTTTTAGGGAGGAATGTTGTTTTTTTATGATATTCGTTTTATGGCTAATGGTTAGTTTAAGATATTCACATTATGATTAGAATTTGAAAATCAGGTTAAGCAAAAAAAAAATATAAATATCTTATTCAAAGGATAATTGTAGTTTAATTTCATACCATGAAATATTATTTATTTACAATTATTTATGCTGTACTATAATTGTTATATGTTTATGACTATAACATGTTATGTTCATATTTATTTTCATAATAAATATAAAACATTATTTTCTTTCCATAATTGTCAAGTCTAGATATCTACAGATGACACTCTGGTTTTTGACTAAATACAATATAAAAATGTTGTGACCCAATGTGTTAAAACATATTATGTTTCAATCATTATTTTTCTTCGACTATTACAATATAAAAGGTTGTGACCCAATGTGTAAAAAAATATCATGTTTCAATCAGTATGCTTGTAAGGGTCAAAATGAAAGGTCGACAGTGTTGTTACTTCTGAATGCTATTTGCTGGGAGGAAAATCAGCAAATACCATTTTTAAAGTCCTGAGTCTAATATTAAAATCTTACAAGAAAAAATACTCGTAATTCACTAACATTTCAGTGCAACTTAGGGTCAATTTTTATTGTAAGATTATTTATGAAAAGAGCCCCTGGTTTTACCTAGCTATGACAACATGTTCTAGACACAAGCACTTTACCACAAGACCAAGGAGGGGAAGGTTATGATTTTGATAATATGGTTTACTCCTGGTTTGCCCACTTTTAATTACACTAATTATTTATTAGTAAAGAAAACAGAAAAGACAAAAGGTTTAATGAGCATACAATTATATAGTCTGTTCCAACTTAGGTATATAGTTTATCAGTGTTTTCTATATATATTCAGGTATTTTTTTTTTGTAATTCCACTTTCATAAATGTATAGATAAATTATAAATAAATCATATATTTTTTCTCTCAATAATTTAACATACATGTAAAACAATGACACTAGCCTGTTTTAAAAGTAATATAAAGTATATTAAAAACTAAACTAATTTCGTGCGCAGGGTTTTGGGCCGCTGAAGGCCCGAAGAAGCTATAGAAAAATGTATGCAAAATCATGCATTCTGCACATTTCCCAGAACCTTTCTTGATCAAAAATGCAAGTTCTGTTTTAATTATTTTTGACAATATTTTGGTCTCAAGGCAAAATATATAGTTTCAGTGTAAGACTTTTAGTCTTTAGAGACAACATCAAAAGACCAATATGTAGGATAAAGCAAAAACATGTAGTTCACATATAGTTTTATGGCTGCTATTTTTTTTTTAGATAAAAAATACTAAAAAAAAATAAAAGTAAAGTTAAATTTTTTTTACTAAATTACAAATGGAAAGCAACACTAAGAGAATAAAGTAAATGTTCCTGAGACCATATACCTTAGTTAAATGAAACCCATTTTCGGACATTTAATTCAAGTAAATTAATATTTATACATTATATTATTTAAAGATTTGGGAAGTTTTTTCCTAAAAAAAATGAAAAAAGACAAATTTTGTAAGAATCTGGTGCCATCTCATACTTTAGAATAGCATTTATAAAATGGCTTAAAAGACCTGCCGAGTTATTTATTTTCAATACATTTTAAGTCAGTTTATTTTTTTTCAAACTACTACAGGACAAACCATTATTTTTTTCTTATTATCAAGGCTGAGTTATTTATTTTCAAAATCCTCCCCCCCCCCCTTTACAATATCAAATGGTCGTCACCTAATATATGAATCAAGTTTATAAATGCATTGCATAAGGAAATAAATAGAGCACTATGGTAAAATAACAATCTGTTGGGTTTTTTTTTTAAAGAAGAAAATGCTAGCTTGGATGCAGATTACTGTTCAAATTATTTTATTTGTAAAGCTTGGGTACTGAACAGTTGCATTTTTATTCTATTTGTTAGAATTTATTGTCAAATTCAATACATTTTCCTGATAAAATCTTTATTGAAAATTTTCATTGATTTAATAGCAGAATATAGGATTTTTGATAAAATTTTACAGGTAAAATAAAAGGTAAAAAATATGACTATAATTCAGAAATAAACTATAATTGTTAAAACAACAATCCACCCTATGTTTACATATGCATGTAATTAAAAGTGGGCAAACCAGGATGACACCGATAATATTAGGTAGTAAAATGTAAGCAAATTTTACTTAGATTACAAACAAAATAACTCATTGTAGTGAATGTTATCTTTATCAGTAATAACAATGATTTTATTTTCAAAAGTTTTAGTGCATAACTAAACATATATTACAATCTAGTTATTAACACTGATGTTACTGCATTTATATTTTGGAGTTGCACAAGGTCATGTATTTTCAAGACTGCCTATTCATCTTAAATCTTAATCTATTGGCAGTCACTCATCCTGCAGTACTGATTGAAATTTTAATCTGGAAAACATGGTCTTTTATTAGTTGAAATTGGCTTTGAACTAGCTTTCAATAACTGTGATAACTCTTAGGTCAGTATTTTGTGTCTTATGTCATTTCATTTAAAGTTGTGTTTTTTTGTGGTTAATACCAATCTGATGAATCAAGCCTATTTTCAATTGTTTTTACAATTTCTTCTATTGCTATACTGTTACACCTCTGTCTGAGGTTAGGGGAGGGCTGAATGCTGATAAGCATTTTTAACCCTGCCACCTATAAAAAGTCAGGAGCCTGTAATCTAATGGTTGTTGTCTGCCGTAATTGTTTTAAACAAATTAGTCTGTTGGCTTTCTCCTTTGAATTGTTTTTATACCTCCGTTTAGGGACATATTATGGTATACCATTGTCCATCTGTTGTCAACATGTCAAACAATAACTCAAAAACGCTTTAACCAACTTGCATGAAACTTTGGTGACGTGAGCTCCCTTTCAATTTTTATAAATTTTAGATTTTACATTTCCGAGTTATGGGGTTTTATTCATTTAAAAAGGGGGAATTTCCAGTTTTCGGATAATAACTCAAATGTGCTTTGAGCAGTTTTTATGAAACTTTGGTGACTGGTTTATATCTATTAAAATAACCTCCCTTAAGTTTTTTTATAAAATTCTGAAATGACATTGAGGAGTTATGGAACTTTATTCTTTGAAAAAGCAACGGGCATATCAGGCGCTCATGGCACAGCTCTTTATTTATATTGTCATTCTATTTAAAGCTTACTATATGGCAGTGGCATAGCACCAGTATAGTATTGCAAGCATGTGCTTACAAATAATTTTATAAAAAAAAATTAAAAGAAATGTTTTCAATAAGAATTTTACTATAATCGTTCATTACTATAATTGTTCAGCTGCGGGGGGCTGCTGCCTCCCTGACCCCTTGCTTGCAAGCTATTTTCCAGTGGCTATGCCACTGATTATGGTATGGATTGTGCTAGTTCACAAGGTAAGTCTGCAGGAAGACATGTTACCTTCCTTGGACCCATTATTCTGACGCGGAGCCGACCAGTCTTTGCTCTTATTCCTTAATGCCGCGTGCTTAGCGGTGAAGCAGCAAATACCAATTTTAAAGTCTTTGGTTTGACCCGGCCGGGGTTCGAACCCACAACCTCCGGCACTCGAGGCAAACATGCTACCACGAGACCACCGAGGAGATGTTTGATATTAGTCCATGAGATAGCAACCCAAAAACACTAAAACCAAAGGACACCTAGAGGTTAACAAATGGTATTCAACAATAGACAGGTGTCTGTACAATATGTTTAGCTCTAAATCTCCTCCTAGCATTAACAAGTTATGAACAAATTAAATAAGAGACCATCAATGACCTGCCATTAAGACCAAATTAAATGACAAAAAAACATTCAAATATAACCTGACCACCACTTGCAAGGTTCCACACTTGGGACAGGCACTTGAATATGTAGCAGGGTTAAACTGGTTCTGTTAGACCTCAAACCATCCCCCTTTTATCTTCATCACTGGAATAACAAAAGATACATAAAAAACATACTATAAATATCAGTATAGAAAAAGTATTAAACTTTTTAATAACGATATAATAAATAACAAACACATGTACAAGCAAAACATAATAAGCAATACCACATCAAAGAGTGCTCACATTTATTGAAAAATTGTTCGTTGAAATTCTGTACAGGTTTCTTCCATGCATTGCATAGGGTGTGTTTTTCTTTTCTCTATCTGACATTGCTGTATGAAATCTGTAAGGTACAACTACCAATATTAGAGAGAAGCATGACAGGATCTCATATCAGCAAGTACTTTGAGCATGCTTTTGGTAACTGCAAGCATTCTTTGATATGTTATTGTTAATTATTGTTATGGTTGTGCTCATGTTTTGTTGGAAAATAAAACTATTGTTCCACAAGGATGTAGTCGATTTAACCACTAAATCTATACACACTGAAATATAGTTCTGAATAATTCCAATCTGATTAAAATTCAAACATATATTAACTCGTGTCCTCGTGATCGGAGAACTATATTTTAATTAGTTTGGAACAGTTCTCATGCATGTCTGTTAATATGCATAAATGAACTGTAAAGAAATTGGTTTATATTTATAGTAAGACATTCAAGCATTATGATTGCCAATGAGACAACTATCCTCCAGAGTCCCAGTGGATTTAAGCAACTATGTAACATAAAATATTGTCCCCCATGAAATATTGTCCGTTGGACAAAATTTCATATAAATATATTGTCAGCAGACACTATTTCATAATGAAATACTGTCCAAGACAATAGTTCATTATGAAATAGTGTCCTTGTCCATGAAATTTTGGCACCTCCTTCAGGGCAATATTTCACTATGAAATTCTGTCTATGACAATATTTCACTATGAAATACTGTCTATGACATTATTTCACTGTGAAATTCTGTCTATGACATTATTTCACTGTGAAATTCTGTCCATGACAATATTTCAATGTGAAATACTCTCCATGAAAATATTTCATAATCAAATTATTACAAAATTAAAAACAGTACACAAGCATGAAGCATGCACATACTGAAACTATTTTGTAAAGCAAGTATATATTTTATATTTCAAACAAATATTTATTTTAACATAAGCTAGTTTCAAATTTGCATAAATACTTTATAAATGGTTAATAGATTGAAGCATTGTCTAATTGTACTTCATTATACTGTATAAATATTATAAAGTAATGTACTTATATATGTTCAAAACTTAATGTACTAAAAGTATTCGTAAATACTAGATTGACGAATCTTTTTGGAACAGTGTTTTGGAGGTACA